CCTGGGGGACACCTCCTTGGGGACACCTCCTTGGGGAACATCTCCTTGGGGACATCCCTTGGGACATCCCTGGGGACATCCCTTGGAGACATCCCTGGGGAACATCCCTTGGGGACATCCCTTGGGGACATCCCTGGGGGACATCCCTGGGGACACCTCCTTGGGGACATCCCTTGGCGACATCCCTGGGGACACCTCCTTGGGGACATCCCTTGGGGACACCTCCTTGGGGACATCCCTGGGACACATCCCTGGGGGACACCTTCTTGGAGACATCCCCTGGGGACATGCCTTGGGACATCCCCTGGTGGACACCTCCTTGGTCATAGCTCCTTGTAGACACCTCCACCCCATGGGGACCCCCATGCCCCACAGGTGCCCCCATGTCCCCCAGGACATGTCCCCAAGGGCTGCCCCAAACCATGGAGACCCTCCCCTCAGGTACCACCCCCTGGTGCCCCCCAACCTGGTACTCCTGGACGAAGATGAAGATGTTGTCAGCACCCACGGCCAGCACCAGGAAGGGCACGACCTCGAGGATGATGAGGGAGGAAGGCAACCCCAGCAGGGCCAGGAAGCCCATGGAGGCAAAGACCGAGCCCAGCACCACGGCGATGCCACCCAGGGCCAGGGTCACCTTGGACTCCACCTGCAGTTGGATGGGGACACCTCAGCACCCCATGGAGCATCCCAGAATCCAGGGTCGGGTTGAGGGACCTCAAAGATCATCCAGTCCCACCCCCTGCATGGGCAGGGACACCTCTCACCAGCCCAGGCTGCTCCAAGCCCCGTCCAACCTGCCCTTGGACATGTCCTTGGGCCACCACTAAGTTGGGTGGGAGTCAGAAGGTAGGAAGGGTCTATGGGGGGGTCTGGGCAGGCTGGATCCAAGGGCTGAGGGAAGATCTTCCCATCCAGTGAGGAGTGGAACCATGGAATGGTTGGCGTTGGGAAAGACCTCGGATATCATCCAGTCCAACCACTGGGCTTTTCCAGCCAAGGGCTTTTCCATCCATAGGTTGGACTGGATGATCTTCAAGGGCTTTTCCAACTCAAACTCTTCTTGGACTGGATGATCTCCAAAGTCCAACCAACCCATTCTTGGATTGGATGATCTCTGAGGTCTTTTCCAACCATAGGTTGGACTGGATGATCTTCAAGGGCTTTTCCAACTCAAACTCTTCTTGGACTGGATGATCTCCAAAGTCCAACCAACCCATTCTTGGATTGGATGATCTCTGAGGTCTTTTCCAACCATAGGTTGGACTGGATCATCTCCAAAGTCCAACCAAACCCTTCTTGTACTGGATGATCTCTGAGGTCTTTGCCAACCCAACCCATTCTTGAACTGGATGATCTCCAAGGTGTTTTCCAACCATAGGTTGGACTAGATGATCTTCAAGGTCTTTCCCAACCCAACCCATTCTTGGACTGGATGATCTCTGAGGTCTTTCCCAACCCAACCCATTCTTGGACTGGTTGATCTCCAAGGTCCAACCCAACCCATTCTTGGACTGGATGATCTCCAAGGTCCAACCCAACCACCCCCTGATTCCACAGCTCCCAGCACCCACCAGGATGCGGCTCCAGGCCGTGTACTCTCCCAGTGCCACAGCAATGTAGATGAAGACCACCAAGTAGCTGGTGGCCATGATGGGCAGGTCCTCGGCCGTGGTTCGGTTGATCTCGTCCTCCAGCGAGCGCTGGGGGGGGGAAAACAACCCACCCAAGGTGTTGAGGGGGTG